TCCACCACATCACTTTCTAGGCTATTCCACGGCCTGACTACTCTATGACTGAAGAAATACTTCCTAACATCCCTTTGATTCATCTGAGTCTTCAACTTCCAATTGTGACCTCTTGTGTCTGTGTCCCATCTCTGGAACATCCCGTCTTTGTCCACCTCGTCTATTCCGCGCAGTATTTTATATGTCGTTATCATGTCTCCCCTGACCCTCCTGGCCTCCAGTGTCGTCAGGCCGATTTCCCTCAACCTTTCTTCATAGGACAATCCCCGTAGCTCTGGGACTAGTCTTGTTGCAAACCTTTGCACTTTCTCTAATTTCTTGACGTGCTTGACTAGTGTGGATTCCAAACTGGTGCTGCATACTCCAGTATGGGCCTGACGTAGATGGTGTACAGAGTCTTAAACGAATCCTTACTGAGGTATCGGAACGCTATCCGTAGGTTTGCCAGGCCCGTATGCTGCAGCAGTTATCTGATTGATGTGCGCCTCAGGAGATATGCTCGGTGTTATACTCACCCCCAGATCTTTTTCCTTTAGTGAGGTTTGCAGTCTTTGGCCATCTAAACTATATTGTGTCTGCGGTCTTCTTTGCCCTTCCCCAATCTTCATGACTTTGCATTTGGCAGGGTTAAATTCAAGGAGCCAGTTGCTGGACCAGGCTTGTAGCCTGTCCAGATCTCTTTGTAGTCCTGCCTGATCCTCGTCCGATTCGATTCTTCTCATTAACTTCACATCGTCTGCAAACAAGGACACTTCTGAGTCTATCCCTTCCGTTATGTCGTTCACGTATACCAAGAACAGCACAGGTCCTAGGACTGACCCCTGTGGAACCCCGCTTGTCACAGGCGCCCACTCTGACACCTCGTCGCGTACCATGACTCGTTGTTTCCTCCCTGTCAGGTATTCTCTGATCCATTGCAGTGCCTTTCCTGTTATGTGTGCCTGGTCCTCTAGCTTTTGCAGTAACCTCTTGTGAGGAACTGTGTCGAAAGCCTTCTTGTGTGTGTGTGTGTGTGTGTGTGTGTGTGTGTGTGTGTGTGTGTGTGTGTGTGTGTGTGTGTGTGTGTGTGACCAGCGAGTTAGGCACAAAGGCTAAGTTTTTTCTGCCACATAAGCAGTGTGAAATTTTATATCGCCATAAATGTGCGAGTCATTCTCAACATAAAAAACCCTTCAAGGAAGGTTCCTTGATGTTGGTGAGGGGCTCTTGATTTAGGGAGTTGGATCTGTGCTCCAGTTCCCCGAATTAAGCCTGAATGTCTTCCACATCCCCCCCCCCCCCAGGCGCTGTATAATCCTCCGGGTTTAGCGCTTTTCCCTTGATTTTAATAATAATAATCTCAACATAAAAAGTATATAGCTTATCTGAACTGCATTTAGCCAAAATTTACTAAAGTACGGCAGGTCAGAGTAGGTTAAGTGAGATTTCTAAGCTAAGTCTGATAATTTTTTTTTTACATCTTTGTCAATTAAAAAATATATATCTAACCATTCGTGATAAAAGAAAGATTCTGAAAAGTCTTATTTTAATAGGGTTCAACCCATTCGAAAAGTTTGGCTTATTAGGCACTATATATGTAATCAAATATGAGATTTTGAATGACATATTTAACTCTTAAAAAGGCAATATTCTATGAATTTTAATAATGTTTACTAGAATAATGTGAAAGTGTTACTATTGTTTTGTTTATAGAAGGGAAAATCAGAAACTGCAAACTGTTGTGTCAACTAAATATAACTGATACTACTCTTACTACAAACAATTAAGGTAATTCTGGTAATACTGTAACCTTACCAAACCTTTCATAGTACCTACAGTATTTGATCCTAATAGCAATTGGGAATAATTATGGTTAGGATTTAGGATTTAAAGCTGCTGAAGGTGACAGAAGAGATATTACCAAATTAATATATTTAAAAGGACAAATGAGGCGTAATGCACACATGTTAAAACAAGATTTACCTAAAAACTCAAATAATTATCCATTAATCTGTTCGAGGATCCTTATGGAAATAAGGAGGACAATAAATATAAATTATTAAATGCATTACTTGGAAATATTATGAAAACCTTGTGTAAAAATTATGATGTAGCTACAGCAGACTGGGTGCTTAGTATCATTACTCAAAGAAATTTATATTGTAAAACATTGGCATGGATGTCAAACTGGCGTCATTTAGGTAATAAGTTAATCCTGTTCAGCTTGTACAGGAATAGTATGGGACTAAACATCTGGAACAGACTTCAATTAAGTGGAAATCTGACAAACTTAGAGGAACCGGGTTAAGTAAATCCTGCAGCTACTAGCGTTAAATTAGCTGCAAATGTTACTAAAGGTGGTGTAGCTGATGCTGCCATAACTGTAGCTCGTCAGAGACTATATGAAATTGGACATGGGAAGCTGTTAATGCCTTGTTCAATAAAGGCTCTCAAAAGGCACTTGTTAAACAATCACACATAAGAACCAACTTTATCCTCCTGTTGATCAGATCTACATGAGACTCTGGATTTTTAATCGAGTAGAATAGTTATTGTTATTATACAGCGCAATTAGCTGGAAGCTTGAGTAGGAGAATAAAGGGAGTGACGGCAGTAAATGTAGAATGCTTGCCTGATAAAATTACCACTCAAAGTATTAGTGATGACATTAGTGAAGATATTAGGGAATTAATCTAAGAAAGTGTAAGATTTACTCTCAATAATACTGAACAAGAAACTCTCAAACCAATTTGTCTGATAATAGGCAATGATTTTTATTTGCCCTTTGTGCATAGTGTGCACAAGGAAAATAGAATTTTATTACTAAGTACTTGTGGAGAGTACATGACATGTGGTACCTTTCTCAAACTTAATGAAAGCTGATTAGATAATTTAAGATATGTAATGACTCTAAACGAGTGGTAGGCGCGTTAACCATGACTAGTAGAAGCAACACTGTTTCAAGGTAGATGTTAAATCCAGCCTTCTCTCACTATCCAGCTTTCTTCATTATTCAGTATTCAAATATTAAGTGAACAAGTACCATAATCTGAGGAACAACCAAGTATTGGGTAGGTCTCAGCTTTACTGCCTCAGTAGTAACCCTCACATGACCTCCCAGACGCCGCCATGCTGAGAACTCCAGGATCTTGGGATTTTTACCCCACCCAAGGAAGTACCACAATAGTTTCCATTTTATCTAGTTCTTGTGAAGCCTCACGTGAGATAGATAAATCGGGGAAAATCTGGGAGGCATTCTTCTCGGCAGAACAGTGCGCACAACAAGAGGTGAGACAAGGGTAGATCGCATGCCCGTCCTAGTTAATCTATGTATAACCCTTTATATAATTATAGCATTAATATCTATGTTTATTAAGTGATGCAATATTAAATGTTCTACAATCTACTAATGAATATCAGTGCAATTAAACTTAATGATCCTTCGAGCATAGTTGAAGCTCTGGAGCACCTTATTAATACAGGAGGAATAACACTCCTCATATTAACTAATTATAAATCCATCGGCAATGTGGGGATATGTCCAGGTCAGGGCGGTTGAAGGATGTAGTTGAGTGCAGACCGACTTTATGTAAGGCTCTTTAGGACAGGATATAATTCACATACAGGTCAGTTCCCCATGCCACCAATATCACGACCATTCTCTCCATTACCAATATCGTGTCTCTAAGTCAATCACTCTGTGATACCTGAAATTGTGAAGCCAGTCAGTAGAGCCTGCTTATAGCTGTCTTGTGGAAATCCATTTTGGGAATGGTCTAACAAAACCGAACAGAGATTACCTGCCCTATGAGTCTCAATCTTGTTATAATTCAATAAACTCTAATACTCGAAGGCAGTTGGATAAGGCGTTCTGAGGCTATAACAAAAACTTTAGATGAGACGAGAAAATTGCAGCTCACAATGGGACAGATCACAGCTTTTAAGAGTTCATTTAATTCATCATATTTCAAAAGAGAAATTTTAATGTTTCTCAGCTTTTTTTTCACTTGTATTAGGTTCAAACTTTTCCTCATTTCTCTAAGAAAGAAAAATTAGCAGTTCTTAAAAAAAAAGTCTAATATGATAAAATTTCCAATTATTGATTCCAAGTTTTCTGAAGAGTTTCAACATTGACAAGTTTGCTGACCCACAAACTGAGTGACTGCTATACTGACCATAATATACATCAGACGTTAAATAAAGAAGTGGCTCAGAAGACGAAAACTAAACTACTTTTAACTTCATAAAATGGGAATGAAAATTTCGTACCATTTTACACACAAAATAATCAAATCTACACCAACCCACTTTAGTTTCTCTCTTCATTGTTTACTAATTATGAGGCACCATTTTTGTACGTTAGAAGTTGTACTGCTGAGCGTTTAGCAAGTTATCAGAAACATTCCAAGATATTGGGAATTGTTTCAATAACTTTGATCATCGTACATCTGTACATGGCATTTCTAGAATGATCAAAACATTCAAAATTTAAAGACAATCCGATGAGGCGAAATAAAATGGAAAAGTTGGAAGAAAAAATAAGGCAACAAATTAAAGGCCCCCTTCGGGGATACCTAAATAAATATTAAATGAAAAATTTTGAAATGCATGTGCGTACATAATCTCACCATATGATGTTGGATTTATTTCTTTATCAAAAGTTATACATCACCTGACCACATGATTCTGGATTTATTTCTTGATCAAAAGTAAAAGACACGACAAGTGTCAAATGTGGTGCACTTATCTGAATAAAATTGATTTCATTTTCAATACTGGTATTACATCTTCCAGGATATGAGAGAATCTCCTGAGTAGAAGAGGCAGAAAAGTGTATGTTTATAAGCTTAACACTAGTGAATGACTCATATAAATGCAACACATGGTAAGCAATACTTGTATCACTAAGAGTCACTGGCTTGGTATGCAGTAACGCAATTCTCTGTGGATTAGGGCAGAGTTTATACACCAAACAACTAAACGCTGCTTCATCTACAACGAAAGGATCAATTAAAATAAACTGAACAGAAGAAACTGGATTTTTAGGTTCCCTTAAGTGTGTCAGATGTTTTCGGTGTTTCTGGATGCATACTTTGTGTTCAAACAAAAGTAATTCACACACCTCAAGTGAGTCAATAAATATATCATGTATACTCTCACGGAACTGCTCATCCTTCATTTGATAACAAAAAGCTTTAATATACGAGTCATAATATTTTGTGTACATATGTCTCTTGGGTTTGTATTTTTGAACTATTATTTTCCACATTATTTTATAAAATGATCTCAACTTTTTAAGGCATACATGATGGTAGCTTATTGCTTTGTGACAGTCAAACCACTCCTGCTTTGTTTGCTCTGGAGGAGGGAAGCTTCTGTGAGCGCACTTGTCATTGCACAAATCTGGATCATATTGACGTTCAGCACACTGGGAGTGGCAGTGGGCAGACGGCATGTTCCACATCCTCTGATATGACTCATAAAGGTGAGGAGGGATATCGTGAGTGGGATATGGAATAACTGTTATTGTTGGCTCGCGCAAATGATTCATTTTTCTTCTCTTCTTCATTGTCTTTTTCTTCGAGAATCTATGCAACAGTTTATGACTTGGAACCTTGGGTGGCGGGCATTTGTGAGGCTTGAGGTATATGAGATCATATTCTGGAAAAGTATCTTGTCCAAGCATTTCTATATAAGTACTTTCAAAGTCCGCAAAATTATGATTCTGCTGAATGTGTTGTTTTAATCTAAATGTTGGAAGCATTTTGACACGAATATTTAGTAAAGTAAAATTTATGAAAGCTGATAGGTTCTGAAGGTTCTGGAGACTGTCTGTAATCTGAGCTAAAGTTTGCAGATCTTCCAGGTTGTCGACCCTCACATACAGATCTTCAAGGTGTTGAGCATGACGCAACAGTGATAAACTTTCCTTGTTTAGTGGGCAACACAGAGCAGTTAGGTGGCAAGAGGCTCTTGGGTCCAACAGTACTGCCAAACACTCTTGAGCATATATTAAGAAGCGTCTCATATTCGACAACATTGAATTTTGCAAATCGAGAGAAATTCTAATTGGAAATCTGGCAAGTATACGAAGTTCATCAATAAATGTCTTATTATTACTGTAGTCATCTAAACGACAGAGATGAACGTGGACTGACTCTGGGGTAATAAACTCTAAGAGTTTTGCCAATGTTGATAGCTCTAATGGACTAGGATTCCACTGGTAAGAGAATAATTGTGAATTTAACTCCTGAATAAATTCTTTATCTTCCTCAGTTTCATGAATAAGCTTCATCCAAAGAGAATATTGCCTAATTTTATATTGACCACAAATAGCGACATATATCATTTGTTCTGCCCTAGACCGCGTTAATGCATCATTCATTTTGAGATATCCACATACAAATGGGATCAACAAGCTACCAGATGTCATATTTAAAAAATAGTGGCTGCAGAATTCCCTCTCAAACTCGCCAGGATCATTAATCTCACTAAATAAATCCATGAATAATGAGCAAAAGCAATTTACCGAAGAAAAATTTGTGGACACAAAGTGGTAATCGTCATAGAGGTCATCACTTCCTTCATGGAGTTTCTCCATAACAAAATTTGTTTTACTGGTCGTTTTTATTGCAAGACTCATTTTCATAAGACATTTGTTGGTATGGATTTTCCCTGTGCTTTAGCATCCACTGAGCAGCGAGGGTAAGCACATCACAACCTTGAGTTATCATGCAGTTGCAAAATGCTCGAGCAGCGAGGAACTCTTGCACTGTCCGGTGAAGTGGATGATATTCTTCAGTTGTCCCAGTAGTTGTTGCCTTCACTATCACCAGGAAGAATGGTGACATGCATTCCCTGAACGGCAACCCAGAATTCTCACACAGTTCTTCTATTTGTTTAATTTGATCACTCAGAAGAACAAATATAAGCATTTTTGAATTTTCCCAGAACATTTTGCCGAGTAAATTAAGAAAATTATTTATCTTGCGCTGAAGTTGGCTTTGAGTGAATCCTAAAGCTGTCAGCTGGGGGCGTCTGGTCATCCTGTTGACGATGAGGTTGATGAGGATGTGGTAGAGTCTGGTGACTGTGGTGGCTCCGGTAACTTCTGCTGGACTCTCCAGCCATAGCACCACCAGCATCACCACGAACAAAGGTACACTAAATATTTCAAACATATCTTGTTCTTTCTCTTTCAGAAATTTAATAAATTTCTCGCAAGAATACCGGCGGATGTCTTCATCTGCTACAGACACAGAAAACAGTTTTTCAGCATAAACATTCCACATAGTTGGAGATAATCCTCTCAGCTGATACAACGTGTTACTAAGATGTACCTCATTAATTAACAGATGAAGGTCATTGGCATTGTCAGGCCGAGAAGTTATCATGATTTGAGAGTTGTGAAATTTTTTCATAATTTCCTTAACTAAATCTTTCGTTTTGTTAGTAGCTTCATCATAGCCATCCAGAAGCCAGAGAGTTGACACTTGCCTCAGTGATGTCAGAACATCTTCGCGCTCCAACTGAAGACATGTTCGCGGAAGGAGCTCTTCACACACTAGGTCCTGGATATTTTCACTTGTAACATGTCTTAATTCCACTAGCAGTACAATATCATAATTATCCATCCCACAGATAGAAGAAGAAGTTGACAGCCAGTCATGTAAACAAAATTTTGTCAGGCTCGTTTTCCCTATACCCGGTGGTCCAACCATTATTAACACATCAGGATATTTTCCTGAATTAAGAGGTATAGTGAAAATGTCACGTGTACTGACCTCCCTCTGCCCCTCTATGTATAAATTTGTAAATATGTGACCAACATCCAAGTGAGCAAATCTGTCTTCTAGCAGCCACACAAATGGGTTAAGAATGCGATGTTTCTTTGACAATTCCTTCATTTCTTTTCTACCTTCTCTTATCAATAAGTTGCAATGTTCCTTCTGTAGATTATAAAGCGCCTCTCTGTAAGGTTGCCAAAGATCTATACCTCCCGTTAATATCTCCTCTAAACTTTCTTCCATCACCCGAATATCATCTATCACAGTACATTGGCATCTACGGCCAGTTTCCTTCAACACCTCACGACAAAGGTCCTCTATGTTAGACAAACAACGTTGCAGATCATCGGGAGAAAATGCTAGGTCTTCATGAGCTAAATCATTCCTATGATTTTTCAGTCTTTTTAAATTGTTTTCCAGTGTATCCGGCGTGGACCAATTTTGATGGTTAATGCTGGGAAGGCCACACACACGCTGCAGCAACAAGAACAGCAATGTTATATCAAAAGTGTTACTAGAAGCATTATTATCCAGCTTTTGTCTCTCTTCTTTGCTGAAGTCATTTTTGTATTGTCTGTTGGAGTAATCCGGAAGCTCAAAGAGAAGCTCCTTGAAGGTTTTCCTGTTGTTAGTGAAGAGTTGCAGGACCCGAACAAAGACAGGACGCACTACTCTCATAATCGCAGCGTAGTAGCGCAACAGAAGGTGGTCATCAGCACGCAGAAGAGGAGGACTAACCGGCATGAGTGCCATCACCAGGCCCTCCGACCACCTTGCACCACCCATAAACATCTGTAATATAAACAAAAAAATTATTGAGGAATGTTTAGTAATCAAAGTTAGAATGAAACACATATTAAGAGGTCCTGTTAAAAATTCAGATACTATTGATTTTAAATATCTGCAGTTGCATCTTATCTGCTGAATCATTTACTTTTCAACAATGAAAAATTAACGTTCACTAAATATGTACAAACCTTCTTAATTTCTATTATTTAAGTAAAATCGATGTATTTCCTACAAAGGAATCCAGTCCAATAGCGGAAACGTCAAAAGACGACGTTTGTGGGTTAAGGCACCAAAAATCTAAATCAACTCCTATATAAATTTCGATCACTGCAGGATCCTAGAAGCTCAGCCTCGTCTACCTCAATGAACACAAAACATAAGTGAGGCTATAAAATTCTACTGTGGCGAAATATAAAAATTTCTAAGTGAATAACCCCTTAAGGGAGGTTCCTTGACGCTGGTGAGGGGCTCTTGATCTAGGGAATTGGATCTGTGCTCCATTTCCCTGAATTGAGCCCGAATGCTTTCCATTCCCTTCCCCCCCACTTGCGCTGTATAATCCTACGAGGTTACCGCTCCCCTATGATTATAATAATAATCATAATTAAGTAAATATATGTTTGTGTGTTTACACTCCTGCTATTAGTATAGTAAACCTTAAGGGAGCTAGTCCCTTGCTGCCCTCTGCTGTCCCCCTTTGTTTGCTGACCTGATCTATTGTTTTTATTTATAACTTCATGCTGAATGCCTTTTATACATTTACTGTTTCCAACCCTAGTGTTGCAACCTGCTTGTTACCCACACGAATCAACGCAGTTGTCGTTGGAGACATTCCTCCCAATGCTCCATAGCACGGCGGATTTTATGAAAGAATGATTGCTGTTGTAAAACGTTGTTTAAGGAAGACTTAGAAAAATTTCGAACAGTTGTAACTGAAGAAGAAAATAGAGTCAACAACAGAACTCTAACTTATGTTACCGATGACCTGGATAATTTGGAAGTGTTAAGTCTGTCTTATTTACTCCATGGCAGAAGGCTCGAACCAATTCCTCCCATGGATGATAAGGAGATAATGGAAGATCCTACTTATCTCGAACCTGAGCAACTCAGCCGTAAATTCAAGCACCTCAATAAAGTAATTGAACGTTCGGAGACAATTTGGCGAGACTATCTCATCTCACTGAGAGAACGCGTCTATGGAACCGGAGTTCCTGAAAATCATACGTCCTTAAGACCTGATGACATAGTGGTTATTGATAATGATGGTCCAAGGTCTCAATGGCCTCTTGGAAAAATTGTGACCATACATCCTGATGCAAATGGAACCATCAGGACAGTTGAAGTTTTGAGCAAAGGTGCAGTGAATAAGCAGACAATATATCAACTAATGCCGTTAGAATTAGTGTTGAAAACAAACTTAGTGATTCATAAAAAAAGAAAAAAAAATCCCACAGAAAGTTGTTAAGAAAAGACAATCAGCAGTGGTAGTTAGTGAGAAAATAAAAATGATGTATAGAGATGAATAGGTCACCTACAGAAAACGTTCGCCCTCCCATCCCCCCAGTGTGGAGAAAAATCTCCAGTAAATGGGGTATCTTTCAGCCCCCCCTCTGCCCTCTGAGGGACTTAGAACTCTCACAAAGGGCTAGTGGACTCTTCTTACCTCCCACAACATGGTCTACAAGTCAGGGACATTGTAATTTCTGGCCTACAGCTAAATAACAAGAAACCTACCCTCTTGTGTTAAACACTGTTGCACAGACTAGTAACGAGCGTATGTAAAGCTGAGTTCAGCATTTCCTTTGTGCTTAGGAGAAACTCGAGGGCGGACCCTCAGGACGGGGCAGATTCACTTCAGGACTCGGAACATACATAAGTCACGCAGTCTCCCAATGAGATCAAAGACAACAGTGAATTTGTGAAGTAGACCCTGAAATACTATCAATCTCCACTAAGAAATTTAATTAGTGTAAAACTAAAGAAACACGAGTGTATTGATCCGCGGTATAATCCCGATAAAGTGTAAAAGTCTGCCGCAGTATGCACTCAGGTATAATGAAGAAAGGGACAAAATATCTCCCTACCGAGAATAATGAATAATGTCAAAGTGAGTTTGTTGTATACGAGGACAATACAACTACGCATCTGTAGCAGCTTACTCAAGACATCATTCCCGACCTCTATGGCACTGTCAGCGCCATAAGCTCACCATAAGGCCTAATTTTACTGGGAAATAATCTCCCTCTTTCCTACATACTCTAACTTGAGCCTCACTATCCTCGTAAAAACTCTTCACTGCTTTCAGTAACCTACCTCCTACACCATACACCTGCCACATGTGCCACATTGCCCCCCTATCTACTGTGTCATATGCCTTTTCCAAATACATAAATGCAACAAAAAACTTTTAAGCCTTATCTAAATACTCTTCACCTATATGTTTCACTTGGTCTACATGCCCCCTACTTTTCCTAAAGCCTCCTTGTTCATCTGCTATCTTACTTTCCGTCTTACTCTTAAATCTTTCAATAATAACTCTACCATACACTTTACTAGGTATACTCAACAGACTTATTCCTCTATAATTTTTGCACTCTCTTTTATCCCCTTTACTTTTATACAGAGGAACTATGCATGCTCTCTGCCAATCCCTAGGTACCTTACCCTCTTCCATACATTTATTAAATAATTGCACCAACCACTCCAAAACTATATCCCCACCTGCTTTTAACATTTCTATCTTTATCCCATCAATCCCGGATGCCTTACCCCCTTTCATTTTACCTACTGCCTCACGAACTTCCCCCACACTCACAACTGGCTCTTCCTCACTCCTACAAGATGTTATTCCTCCTTGCCCTATACACGAAATCACAGCTTCCCTATCTTCATCAACATTTAACAATTCCTCAAAATATTCCCTCCATCTTCTCGATACCTCTAACTCTCCATTTAATAACTCTCCTCTCCTATTTTTAACTAACAAATCCATTTGATCCCTAGGCTTCCTCAACTTGTTAATCTCACTCCAAAACTTTTTCTTACTTTCAAGAAAATTTGTTGATAACATCTCACCCACTCTCTCATTTGCTCTCTTTTTACATTGCTTCACCACTCTCTTAACCTCTCTCTTTTTCTCCATATACTCTTCCCTCCTTGCATCACTTGTACTTTGTAAAAACTTCTCATATGCTAACTTTTTCTCCCTTACTACTCTCTTTACATCATCATTCCATTATATATATATTTATATATATATATATATATATATATATATATATATATATATATATATATAATATATATATATATTATAATATATTGTCATGCAGAATAAGTAAAACGTGCGATTTTGTCTTAAATAGCAAAGCTCTTCTTGCTGAATAAGGCAATAATTTAGCAAAAATCATTCTGATCCTAACGAATAAAAATATATTTCATTGCTTTCGTTTATTATTATATTATCGTAAACTTATCTAAAATATATTTAGTTGGATTAAGCTAAATTGCACTTGTTATAAGATTAGGTAAATTTTCTAAGGTTCTTTTGGTACAAAATTATTAATTTTTACATTACATTAATGAAAAAAAATATATCGTTAAATGTATAAGAGAAAATTTTAGAAAGGACTTAATTTTAAATGATTTCTTGTTAATTGACCAGTTCTACCTATTCGGCACGACAGCAACCACCCAGGGAGATAGTACCGTCCTGTGGTAGTAAGTTGGTAGACAGCAACCACCCAGGGAGGTACTACCGTTCTGTGGTAGTAAGTTGGTAGACAGCAACCACCCAGGGAGGTACTACCGTTCTGTGGTAGTAAGTTGGTAGACAGCAACCACCCAGGGAGGTACTACCGTTCTGTGGTAGTAAGTTGGTAGACAGCAACCACCCAGGGAGGTACTACCGTCCTGTGGTAGTAGGTTGGTAGACAGCAACCACCCAGGTAGGTACTACCGTCCTGTGGTAGTAGGTTTGTAGACAGCAACCACCCAGGGAGGTACTACCGTCCTGTGGTAGTAGGTTGGTAGACAGCAACCACCCAGGGAGGTACTACCGTCCTGTGGTAGTAGGTTGGTAGACAGCAACCACCCAGGTAGGTACTACCGTCCTGTGGTAGTAGGTTTGTAGACAGCAACCACCCAGGGAGGTACTACCGTCCTGTGGTAGTAGGTTGGTAGACAGCAACCACCCAGGGAGGTACTACCGTCCTGTGGTAGTAGGTTGGTAGACAGCAACCACCCAGGGAGGTACTACCGTCCTGCCAAGTGAGTGTAAAATGAAAGCCTGTAATTGTCTTACATGATGGTAGGATTGCTGGTGTCTTTTGTCTGTCTCATAGATATGCAAGATTACAAGTACGTCTTGCTACTTCTACTTACACTTAGGTCACACTACACATACATGTACACATTTATTTATATAAACTCGTCTGAGTTTTCTTTGATTTTATCTTAATAGTTCTTGGTCTTATTAATTTTCCTTTTATATCCATGGGGAAGTGGAATAAGAATCTTTCCTCCGTAAGCCATGCGTGTTGTAAAAGTCAACTAAAATGCCGGGAACAATGGGCTAGTAACCCCTTTTCCTGTAATAATTACTAAAAAGAATAATAATAAGAAAATTGTCAAAGTGGGAAGTCTGAATGTGCGTGGATGTTGTGCAAATGATAAGAAAGAGATGATTGTGGATGTTATGAATGAGAAGAAGCTGGATGTCCTGGCTTTAAGTGAAACAAAGCTGAAGGGGGTGGGAGAGTTTCAGTGGAGAGGAATAAATGGGATTAGGTCAGGGGTTTCAAATAGAGTTAGAGCTAAAGAAGGAGTAGCAATAATGTTGAAGGATAAGCTATGGCAGGAAAAGAGGGACTACAAATGTATAAATTCAAGGATTATGTGAAATAAAATAAAGGTTGGATGTGAAAAGTGGGTTATAGTAAGTGTATATGCACCTGGAGAAGAGAGAAGTGTAGAGGAGAGAGAGAGAGAGATTTTGGGAAATG